CACTGGGGCTCAAAAACTGCCCGATCTCGTAAACGTAATATTGGGCTTTGCGGCAATTTCCAAAAGCGGTAACATTAATTTTTGTATTTTGTTTTTCTCCCCATTCTTTGTTGCTCAATGCTTCAAAAAGTGGGGTGAATAGCATATTTTATCGTAAAATTGAGTGTTTTGTAATAATATCGGACATTTTTACCAAAGGCAATCGGAAAATTGGCTATGGGGCAAAAACGTCGATGCAAACGGTCAGTGTTTTAGTACTCTCCTGCATCCCTGTACTATTCATATGGGAAGAACTTATAATTAAGTTAACGTCGGCTCTTAATTTTGGGAAAAGTGCTTCGTGGATTATTGAAGAGGGAAACCCTGAATTTTTTTTCCTAAAAATCCGAATAATGTAATTTCATTTCTTAAGTTACCCCTTTTGTGCGCTAGTCATCGACCCCCTTCTGCTTCACTTCCTGACCCACATACTTTTTTGTGAAATAAAAGAGGAACCATTAACAGCTTGATTTAACAGCTTGAGACTTAGGATAGAGTCTAAAGCTCAAGCTCAAGAACTCTCTGCTAAGAGTTCTCCGGAAGTGAAAATTATTTGAATTTATCGACTCTGTTAGCTTTGAATGTAATTCGCTGTGGGTATGGAACTGTAACTCCAGGTCAATGCATGACAAGAAAAAACTCAGCCCAGAAGTCGCTTCAACATTTTCCTCGCGTTTTTTTGACCTTGGGTTTTGTAAAAAAAATTGTGCTCTGCCTATTGTTTACGCACTTTCCTCCTCTGAAAATTCATCTTTATTCATTTTTCCCCGTTCTTAAGTTTTCCGCGAACAATTGCCGACAACCTAAAAACAATGACGTTTTGGAATATGTATCAGTTGATTACCAAGTTTCAAGTTCACCAAAACTGTTGCTCAAGGTTGCCGGATGTGAAATACTACCGCGTATTTTCCTCACAGTTGAGTTAAAACCTGCCAATTTCCTGAAATATCCAACAATCGTACGGCCGCGCTTTGCCCCGTTGTCTCGGGAGCTTCTTCAGAAAATGCGGAGGTGATAACGATTTCCACTTTTGGCGAGAAAAATAATGAAATATGCGTTGTGTACACGGTTCCTCGCCGTGGAAAGTAATCTTCGGCCATTCTCTTGGTTGTGAGAGGACGGTTTTCCTTGATATTTTTTAAAAGTATGTTCAAGTTTTCTTCTTTGTAGAAAAAATGTGTTTCCTCGTATTATGTAATTTCACAGGGCAATCGAAAAAATTAAAAGTAGCGAAGCAGCTGAAATTTCAGCTTAAAAATTTCTCTTTAGAGCTTTTCAAGCTTTGACACACCGTGCCTAGTCAAACCCCGACTTTTTATCGAGCCAACGGGGGTTGGCAAAAAAACCTTCGTTAAACCTAATTTTTACAGACTATCAGGGTTGGATCGGAATATTTTATACACTTCCGCCACATGTTGTTCTTCAAAAGACAATGTAGGATTTTACATGTAAGAAACCGACTTTTTCTAGCTCTTGCAAGTTGACAACACTATTTTTTCTCCATTTAAATGCATATTGAACAAACGATTCTAGGTCTCACCTAAAATCTATACATTCAATGGATTTAAATGGAGTATTAAAAGCTATATATATCAACTTGCACGAATCGCCACTGTCAAAACCCCTGCGGGCTGATTGTTGAAATAGGTAGACGAATCTATAGATAAAGAAGACATATAGAGTATAGAGGGCTCATATTGGTTGAAATGGGTGGGTCCTATAGACTATAAGGGGGTAAATGATCGCTAACTACAGGGTCTCTCGTGGGTTGCTATTATTTAGTCCACCACCTACCTCCTTTGTCCATTGCAACCGCCCTCTTCCACCAATAGGATCCCTCCATATCCCTTATTTTGTCTTCTTTGTCTATAGCTTTGTCTATCAATTTCAATAACCAGCTTGCTGTGATCTTTAGGGATGAGCTAGGAATACTGGTTCCTGAATCAAGAGTGTGGTTCTTTTAACAAGAGAACTTGATACATGCGTAGATCCTAAGATGTTGCCACCTTGAGATCCTCATTCATGAAAGTACGATCCTGTGACACGCGCTTTCAACTTTCCGAAGATGAGGTCACTTTCCACGGCTCGGCTGACACGTGCTTCTTCCCCGTTGCTCTCTGTCCGTTGGTCGTCGGCAGAGCCTCCTCTAGCTCCGAGAAAAAAACCCATTAATCGGACAGCACCATGAGCTCTGCATCTACCATCTACCCACAAAGTCGGAGCGTGTAGCCGCAAGGCTGCGCCGGGCTTTCTTTCCTCCTCAAGGTCGTCTCTCACTCGCCTTGCTCGGATTCGATCGATTTATAGATCCGCCTAATCTCCGAGGGTCCACTCACACTGACCACCGCCCGCGACCGCTCGTCGGCGCACAGTGGAGCGAGTCTTTGGAGGAAGTCGGCCATGAAATATCTGTCAAAAATTGTAAAATTTTACGTTTATCTCGTCACAATTTTAATTTTTAGGGGTGGTTTCCAAAGAAAATTTTACGAGAAAACCTATGAAACTACTTTTAAAACGTCAAAATTTCATATTGATGAAGACACGCGCTTTTAAAGGTTTTAAATCATGACCAACCTTCCTCATTGATTCGATCCACTGTGCGGCATCGCGCCGCGAGTCAGATCACGTGTAAAACGCATGATTTTATGATGATACTCGACGGGGTTTTTATCATTTTATCGTCAATATGGCAACCCCGCCACGCATTCTCGGCTGATAACAATACCATCGATGTCAGATGGGTCATGGTGGATGAAGAGGTAAGGGCTGGTTCTAACTTCTAACACATCTGGTCCTAAACCTCTTTTTGAAACAGTACTCGTATTTTTGAGAGGTCTCAGGGCTCGTATGATTAATTGTATGGTCCGAATATGGCCTGGACTTCTTGTAACTTTGGGAATACCATCTATCGACTTTTGAGTAGCTCGGTCCAAATAATCGCCCCGATGAAGAAGCACCCTTAATCATACGCGATTGCTTTGTACCCTCCCATTGGGGTCACTCCAAGTCCCCCAAGAATGCGTCGAATCCATCGATTCTTGCAGCCGACGACGCATTGCAAATAAATGAAATTTGCATTGCCCTCTTAAAAAAAGTGAATATTACGGATATATCTCGCGGACGCCTTGACTTGCTTCTTCTATCATCTTCTTCTTCTTCTTATTCTTCCTCTTCCTCTTCTTTTTTAAAATTCTCTTATCATATCTTCAAATTACACATGTCACTATCACCAATCACCCAAAACAAAACATGTGAGGAAAAGATGGGAATCGTATTTGTAACATGACGTTCACACTGAGTAAACACCTGGATGTATAATTTTCACTCTCTCACCCCTTTCCTCCAACCCCCCTCCCCCCTCCTTCTAAACAAAAATTTGGGTACCAAATTGTTATCAGATGTTATAAGTCGATCCAAACTATTACCAGATGGCTAAATTGAGTCACTTCGTCCGTAGATGCCACTTCGTAGTCACAATTGCACATCCACTTTGATACAATGAGAAAAAAAAGAAGCCCCCCCCCTCCCCCCTCCACCCCCAGTCAAAAAATTATCCATATCAACAACTTTGATATCTCTCTCGATGCGACGAACGAAATCAAAGATACTAGTTTTGAGAGAAAGGAAGGACTACTAGCACGTGATTATCTTCTGGGATTGATTCGTATACTGACTTCTCATTCACCAGTCATCAGGCGAGCTTCAGCAGAGTTCTTTTAGCCGAAAAACTCCTTTGAACAGTTACCATACGAAATCGCCTCGACCGCAGTGACCATTTGGCAGTGAGGCGGTAAACAAAGCTGCTCTCAAGTTTAGATCGGTTTCCTCAAGGCTGAAATCCGTTGGACTGTCCAAGTCAAAAAGAAAAAAAAAATAATAATGAAGGCCTTCAGGATTCCGTTTGGGCATGAACACTTTCTCCCGTCCTCCTCTCCGGCGGAGGGGGGCCCCGCCGCCGCGCCGCCCGACAAAAAAAGGAAGCGAGATGAATTAAAAAATGGAATGAAATAAAATGAAGCGAAGGGTTCAGGGTAAAGAGAAAGTTCGGATTCCATCAGATAAACGCGTCGCGATCCCAGGCTTGCCGCCGCGCGCAGCGCCGAAATCCCCGCCGCGGCAGTGATGCCGTTGAATAATTCAAAAAGTCCCCGTGGGCCGGTCACCTTGCAACAGAGCTTCCAGTTAAGTTTGACTCTGTTTCCTTCCGCCTTGGGATTTTTTTTCTTTTTTCCATTTCGATCGGCCTTGTCGTCGCTCGTTAAGTTCGTGGATTCCATTTTGGGATTTCTCCCCTCCTGGTACATTTTCTTCCTCCCGCAATGAGTGATTCATTTGCATCGACGCCAATGGCCGGCTTCTGCATATTTATGGTGTTTAATTACATGCAGTAAAGTTTTATTGTATTAATATACTTACTCGCTGAATTACTTGGTAGATCTAGGAAGTTCTTTGGTATACATAGGTATCGCCCTTTCTCGACGACTGATCAAAGACGGAAACAGTTTGATGTCGCATAGTGACTGTTTAGTGTTCCTCTCTCTATTTAAAGTGCGCCTTTAATTAATTGCGAGACAATTTGTTTTGTTTTGTTTACGCTGTAAGGTATATGTCTTTTTATCACCTCTTAAGTTCTCAACGGTAACGGAAGCACACGCTCAAGGTCACAGCAAATTTTCGGAGTGAACAAATATAATCGATCTACTAGCGAGTTGTAATTGGTGCGCTAATTTTAGTACTTAGAGAGGAGGGGGCCACATTTTTTTTTTCTTGTTTTTTCCCCTTCTTCTCTCCTTAATGTTTTCTCCGTCAAACAGCTGAAAAGACTGTGCGGTGACAAATTTTTTATTGCAGACTGACAATTATTCTGTTACTTGTCGGTGGTAAAAAGAAAGAAAGAAAAAAATATCAATTACCCATTTTTTTATGACTGTTTCTATATTGTTAATTTTATTTGTTCACAGGTGAGTACAGAGATTTAAGGCAGTCAGTCATTTCCCTTCAGAGATCTCGGTGCTGTAAGTACTGTCCTTACGATTAGCATTACACGAAGAAAATACATCGTTTCCTGTGGAAGTTCTTTTGTTTGCGGTGGCTCCATCTGGTAGAAAAGTGTATCATTAAGAGTCTTTTAGGCACTAATAGAAAATCGACCTATAAATTCTTAGAATTAATAAATAACAAGTCGTGTGTGTCCATGCATACATCGGTTCTGGTGTTGATTTTTATTGTGGTTAATGTAAGTACATTTCAGAGCATCCAAGTATAGTATAGTTGGTAAGGTTCAGTCGTGTGTATATCCAGCTATAAATTCTCTAGAAACTCTATTGACCGTGTGACGATAATATACCGACAACATTGTGATGAATTGGACGACATTCTACCAAACGGAACTATGTGCATTGAGACATGAGCTCTGAGACCCATAAGCATATGTGCAAAACAGGGCTCACGTCATAATGCACATAGTTCCGTTTGATAGAAAAACGTCCAATTATAGGTGGGTCGTAGCCAATGAGCCAAATGATCAAGTTGCTCTAATTCAGTAATCCTTCAGTATAGAACTTTTGAAAACACCACCAGTTTGATCTAGTTTCGTTTTTTCTCGAAAGGTTACAGACGAACGAGAGAGAAAAAAAAAATATTAATGACCTAAAGAGGGAGAACGCACCGTAGTGTGGACGTTATATAAGGATTTTTTTCACTATTCGACCGATTTGTTACCGTGACTGTATGAGGGAAAAAGTACAAAAAGCATACAGATCAAATCGATCAATGTTTAGTCCCCCCTCCCTCCTTCGACTTACGATGAATTATTGATTTTTGAGGAGGAACGTGCGCACTTAATATTTTCCGAATTTCAGACGCAGCTAATTTTGAATCTAAAAGTTAAAACGGAGCTGACCGCGCTCAAAATTATGTTCGTGCCCCGCTGTTCTTCCACTTAGTGAAAAATGAAAGTGATCGAACAGATGTGTCGAACACGTGACTGTTTTAAGCTCTAAGCTTGTAACGGTCCTTGGTAACGGTCTTGTAGTAAAATTTATATCTGCTCGCGCCATGAAGTGATATGGTAACCAATACCATGGTGACATTGAAGGAAATAGATGTCGCTCGATACGCAAAATTGGAAATATAACACTGGGAAAAAAAAACACACATTGGATCTAGAGTCCAGACTCTTATAAACATCGACAAGAAAAAATACTCTTGATTCAATCAGATTTAAGCTTAAATCAAGAATCAAACCTCTTAATTTGAGTGGATTTCCTTTTGATTTAAGCTTAAATCTGATTGAATCAAGAGTCCTTTTTCTTGTCAATGTTTTCAAAAGTCTGGACTCTAGATCCAATGTGTTTTTTTTTTTCCAGTGTGTTTTAAATTTTTTGGGGAACATAAATTAACATACATTTAATTAATAGAAACTATTAATTCTATTAACTGTCCTCTAGCGCTTCAGTTCATAGCGGTTTTTTTCCGAGTTACGTTCCTTCGTCCAGGAAAGGACGAGTTGGTTTCCTCTCAGATTCCCTATTGGTAAAATCAATCCAGAGGAAAGGACCAACTGCAGAGTGGTACCTATAGATTTTCCTCGAACAGCTATCAAGCACAACACTTAATCGCCAAAAAACTCGGTGCCTCTCCGCTAAACTTGATCCAATATTTCTCACTTCCGTGTGCAATGACGCCTCCTTACGGACAAGCCACGGCCCCCGAGAATCGCCCCAGCCCGACGTAAGGTCACCGCCGTAAAACGCGAAAAAAGTCGCCGACGTCTGTCTTGGCACGAGTCCCGCGCGAGGCATCAACAAAGACGCGAAGAACCGTTAAAACCGCGTAAAATTAAGCGACATGACGTCACCCGACGGATGGAAATGACGGCTAGACGTCCGACGCGTCGGAGGGTCTCAGCGCCGGAGTGACCTGGATCTGCATTCGGAAGAAGCGAGTGTGTTAGTGGTCCAGAACGTGAACGGATGAAAGTGAGAGTGTTCTGACGTTGCCGCGCCGAGGGGATTCCTCCGCGTCTTCCGTGCGATCGGATGGGTAATTCGCGGATTTTTCGGAGATCTGGCAAGCGTGCTGACGCGCGTGCAGTCGCTCACGGGCGGACGGTGTCCGACTGCAGAGTGCATTGGTGCGTTTCTTCCGCGTCGGCTTCTAGGTGAGAAAGTGCTTCGGGTTTGATTGAAATGGAATAAACCACCATAACCATGCCGGGTTGTCTCTGCTGTTACACAGCCCGCAATCGGATATTGAGAGGAGCGCGTTATATGCAGGGATAAAATATCTTCGGGATCTCTCACTTTTAACGTCTTCTAGGTGTTGGAGAAGACTCGGGGATCATCGTTAATCGATACGATGACTGATGTAAAGACGTGTCGGTTACTCTGCTCATCGGACAAAATGTCGGTTTGGCAAACTGTCTTTTGATCTGAAGCCAGTAATCATAGGTTGGCTAGAATATGAACACGAAATTGAAGGCGCCTTCATGTTGGCGGTGATACAATTTGAGTGGCAGCGAAGTTGAGACATTTTTATCATACCTTTCGCCAGAATTGACAGGTTACATGTTAAATTATAATTCTTCCTCATTACTGGAGAGCTTGAAAAATGTTATTTACGAACAGCTAGTCGGTGTCAAGATGAGAAAAGAGTTAAGAGTTTTTAGAGTTGAACAATTGTATTGGCGTTCCAAAGCTTGTATGCCTTTTTCTCAATTGATGTATTTTTTATATTTTTTCCCTTCATTTCTTTGTAATATTCAACTGATTTTTGACCTCAAATCAGCTCAGTCATCGATTATTGTCAAGCGTCAAGTGGCAGTAGAGGTGTCGCCGGAAGACCGACTTACCGCGAAAGAATATTCTCACCTTTCCCTTTCATATCTCCTCTCTATTTTCTCACCTCCTTTTCCTTTTACCATCTCTTTCCGCCTCTCTCACGTCAACGGCATGTCGCGTATAAGGATTATTTCGAGTCTCTAATATTTCTTATGTATTTTTAAAATTTTTTACACTCTTTAGCTTCGAATTTGTAACTGCTCATTTCCACCGAAAACAAAATTATTGGTCCATCATTTTAACTTGAAGCGTCGTTTCTTGTCGAAAAAATTTAGATTTTTTAAATTCGTGCAGATTTAACTTTTAGTAAGTTCGCTCGATTTAAAGACAAGTTATTTGTTCTGCTATCTTTTTTAACGTAAACTCAACGATAACAAAACAATGTTTTTTGAACTCAAAGAAATGACTTTAAGTTGAATCCGCACCGATTTCACTCCAAAACACCAAATTTTGTCGACAAGAAACGACGCTTTTAGTCAAAATTATATCTCAAGAAAATTTCTTGTCAGTGTGTATGAGAGGTGTAAACGGCATAAAATGCTATGGCGATAAGTGACTTTAACCTTCACTGGAAAAAAACACATTGGATCCAGAGTCCAGACTCTTGAAAACATTGGCAAGAAAAAATACTCTTGATTCAATCGGATTTTTGCTTGAATCAAAACGAAATCCGCTTAAATTAAGAGTCTTGGTTCTTGATTTAAGCTAGATTCTGATTGAATCAAGAGTACTATTTCTTGTTGATGTTTTTAAGAGTCTGGACTCTAGATCCAATGTGTTTTTTTCCAGTGTTTACTACATTCTATATTTCTTTCTTTCTATCTTTCATCCCTCCTTTTACCAACCCGGAAACACTGCAAGAGAGGTCACATCTCTACGAATATTGCATGGTGGTAATTTCTGAAAGATTTACCGACTCCTACGAGTAGCCGAAAACCGAGTGTCATATCGCCGGTTTAGGCGTGTAAATAGTGGTAAGAGCATAAAATACCGGAGATTACGGAGAAAGCGTCGCGTGTTAAAGTGTTGTGGATGCCGAAAAGTAAATCGCCCATACCGTGCGATTGTGCTTTGTCGCTGTTCACTCTTGAGTCGGATGATTTAAATGTTACCAGTCTGTTCAAACCTTTTCCGTCAACCGCAGAAATGTAATTCTTTGTTGTCGCGCAAATTACCTCGTGCGAGTTTTCTAACAAATATTTTAACGAGCCATGGAGGATCCGCTCACGTGGTTTTTTCTCGGTTTTTTTGCCCCCTTATCTCTCCTCGCGAGTGTTTTATGAAACACCCTCTCCCTCTCCCGTCTCCCACATCGCTGTGCTTTCTTCGGATTTCACTTAAATCTTCATCAAATGAATCTTATATCTACCTCTTCATCCACCGAGGGTATTAAAAGTTGAAGCTCCGCTTTTTCCTTAAACCAAGAGCAATTATTTAAACTGACGAAATAGCTGAAAAGGGACGACCTTTTTTTTTTTGGCACCACTCTGTTTGGCAAAAAGCAGCCCTAAGTAACTTTTAACTCATAATACAGCAAAAATCGAATCATAAGTTCAAATTCCGTTTCATTAGCTTGACGCACTTGAAAAAATTCCGCGACAGAAATTTGAGAGCAGTCATTTTTTCTTCGTGAGTCATTTTCGATCGATAAGCTCAAATTATCTTGATTTCAGTCAAAGGCAAAACTGGCAAAAATCGGACGGAGCCTTTCAAAACGGATCCAAGCCGTATCCAGGTTGAACCAAGGAAAAGAAGTTTAAAGTTTGAAGTTTGAAATTGTATTCCTCCACAAGAATCAATGTTGGAAATACAGTTCAACGCCTAATTTTGCATTAAAAATATTTGTCTTTTTATTTTAAATTTTCTCTATTCATTTTTTTTAAATTTTTGACAGCAAAAAACGTACTGCCTCGTAAGTTGTTTGATGTGCGACTTGAAGCATTTTTGTGTAATTCAACCTTTTAAAGCTTATTTTCAAACGGAGATGCTTATTAATACAGCTCCATTTAAAATTTGGCCACTCTCGCAAAATCAACGCTACAAAATCAGTTCTTTCACTTTCTTTGCAGTGTTCTCTGTAACCCTACAATAGTATCTTCGGTAAGTAACTCCTTTCGAGCACACGTGAGACTGTCATTTCCTGATGGATTTGTTGCTTGCTAAAGAAATTTAAACACAATAATGACAGTCTATCCGTCAAAAACTGCG